ACAATATTTAGAAATCATATACTTTGACCAAAGGCTTTTCTTAGACCTCAGATTAAACCAGAGTTTATAAGAAAAAAACTAAGATAAGTTCTTAAAAGCCAACTTGCCTTCATCCTAGACACTAGAGGCCCATAAAATAGTAATGTCAAAAGGCCCATAAAATTGCATATTTAATTTTTTGGCCCCCCAAAGGAATTTGTTAAAAATCCTTTCAAGTCTAGTGCATGTATTCTTTGTATGAGATAAAGTAAGAAATAAGTATATATGAATAGAGCAAAGAACTCTTTTTACTAACACCAATATTTCCCGAAAAGAGAAAAAATTAAAAGCCCAATAAGAATGTCTAGGATGAAGGCAAGTTGGGTTTTAAGAAATTACCACTTTAAGATTTTAATATTTTTGTAAATAAATGAGATATCTTTCAACCATTATAAAGAGGAGTGCCAAAGTACTTAAGGGGTAATTTCTTATGTAAAATACCATATTTTTCCTGAATAGAAGAGATTCTGGGTTGAGTTAATTTAGAAGTGATAAACTACTTTTCATAAGATTTAAAATTAGACCACTAGCCATTTGAAAAATATCAAGAAAATTAAAAAGTATTTTAAGCATCTTCTTAGAGCCATTAGTAAAAATAATAAAATCATTGGCGAAACTTAAATAAGACACCACAAAACCACCCATAGTATGATACTGAAGATTAGAGTGATTTCTAAAAAGATCATTAAGACCTCTAGAAAGAAATTCAGTAGCTAAAATAATCAAAGCAGGAGATAAGGGATCCCCTTGCCTAAGGCCATGACTAGAGTTAAAAAAAACCATGATTTTTAACAATGATAATCACAAAGAAAAATTAATGTTCAATATTGTCTTTAATGGTCTTAATAAAGGCTTGATTGAAACCAAAAGATTGAAACATGATGTAAAGCAAATCCCAATTCAGTTTATTGTAAGCTTTCATAATATTAATCATAAAAATCACATTCCCGCCCGCAAGTTTTGCCTCTAAATCATGCACATTCTCATGTCTAATAAAACATCATCAAAGATAGAATGCCCTTTAACAATACCAATTTTATGAATAGAAATGATATTAGGAAGAATTAAAGATAATTTAGACATAATTAATTTGGCAATGAGCTTGTTATAAAAGGAGCAAAGACTAATCAGGAGAACATCACTCGAAAAGTTAGTAACATCACTTTTAGGTATTTAAACAATAGTATTAGAGGTAAAAAATTTAGGACAAGGATTACCTTTAAAGAAATGAACTACATCATTAATTAAATCCTCTTTAATAATATGTCAAGTTTTTTAAAAGAATTTAGTAGTAAAACCGTCAGACCCGGCCATAGAAATAGTATTCATTTCTTTAATAACCAACTCAATCTCATTTTCAGACGAAATTTTAGTGAGCATAATGTTATCCTCTTAAGACACAAGAGATAGCATAAAAGTAAAACCCAGGTCTAAAGTAAGAGAAATATTTTTGTTAAACACTTCCTTAAAATACTTGAAACCGGAATCATAAACCTACTCAGGAGACTCAAAAAGTTGACCTTCAGGAGTGGAAATCTTGTGAACGTAACTAGCAACTTTTTTATGGTTAACAACATTGTGAAAAAGTTCAGTGTTTCTATCTCCCTTGGCTAAAAAGTTGCATGCAGGTTTTTGTTTCCAATAGGCTTCTACTTGTTCATGAAGCTTAACTTAGGTGTCCTTGACCTTATTTAAAGAAGCTAGGTTTTTCGCAGAAGGAAGATTCATATAAATATTATCAGCTAAATCAACTTGTTTCTAAGTTTCCATAATATTACCGAATAAATTCATAAAAACACATTTATTCCACCAATTTAAATTTTTCTTTAGTCATTTGAGCTTAAGACAAATATGAATCATACTAAAAAAATTATTATTGGGAAACAATGGAGCATTCCAATTAACATCAACAATAGTAAATAATGAATCATGCAAAAGCCACATATTTTGAAACCTAAAACTAGAGGAAGTAGTGTTTTCCTTAATAGAAATGCTTAAAAGTAAAGGAGCGTAATCAAAGATGGTTCTAAAAAAATGCCCAATATGGGTCTTTTGGTACTTAGAAAATCAAACATTACTAAAAATAGTATGATCTAAACATTGCCTCAAAGTGGCATGATTCCAAGTAAAGCCATTACAAGAAAAACCAATATCATGTAGATTATAAGCTAATAACGTATCATTAAAATTCTCCATAGCTTAGAAATTTGCCCCCAATTCTCTGAAAAACATTAATGCTGGTATTGAAGTCACCACCAACCATCCACGGATCAACATTATTTGAAGAAAAATCCATAATTTCCTTCCATAAACTCCTCCTTTCAACTCTAGAACATGAAGCATATACAAAAGGAACAACGCAAGAAAATTGAAATTACTATGCACAATTTGAGGCAAATTATTAAGAATATTTAAATTAACCTAATGTTTCAAAAAAAATTCAAATTTAGTTTTACTAAAAGAGCAATCAAACCCATGTTTAGTACACATAGAAATAATCTTGGAAGCCATAATCAAAGGTTCAAGTAAAACCAAAACATTAATATTATAAATCCTACATAAGTTCTTGAACCTATCCCTAGAAGGAGGATTTCCCACCCCCCTTATATTCTAGAAGAGGATTTTAACCATTCGTAGAAGAATTATAAGATGCTCGGGTAACTCTAGAAGGATAAACTTTAGAGTGTTTGATATTTTAAAATTTTTTATTCTTCACTTTCGTATAACCCTCATCCATCTTATAAGCATAAGAAGGAGTAGTCAACATAGACAAATCATTCATACCTACAAATTTCCCTAAAAAAGCAACCTCTTTGAAAAAAAAAAAAAAAGCTCTTTGTTAGGAACAATTTCCCCTTCCCTGTGTGGTCCTCCTTATCTCCTTCCTCAATCTCCACTTGTTAGCCATTACTAACATTTAAAGTACATTGATTATGCATGATATCTCAATCACCACTAACAATGGAAGAATCAACCTCTCCATTCCCATTTTGGACTAAATCCTTCAAAGGCAGTCTTCTAGAATCAAAATATTCCACTTCTATGTCATGACCAATAGATCCATCCTTAAGAGTCACAGGGTGAGATTATTTGAAAGAATGATTTCCATTATTAGTTTCCTCATCATTATTTGTAATATTTGTAGGTATTGTAACCATGTTGTGATGATTATCCATTTCCAAAGGGATATGAGTCTCACGGTTAGCACTATCATTCTTACCAAAATTATCCAAACTTTTTCCTTTTTTTGCTCCTTTTTTTAAATATGGGTGAGCAACAAAACAATCATTAAAAAAATGTCCATGAACTTTAAAAAGAGAGCAAAAATCTGGTATGTTTTCAAAATCATGCTTTTGCAAATAACCCAAACTTTATGATCCAAAGCATGAAGAACATGGAGATTAAAGAAATGCAATCTCAAATTCACGAAAGAAATCCAAATAGGAATGATAGGAGATTCCTCTTTTATATCAAAGTAAGGAGTCCACTTCAAAAGAATCATTTGACAGTTATTAATGTAATAAGATCACCTTACAAAATACAACTATAATCCAAATCATTCGATCATTGGATAGCAACATGCTAGCATCATGTAAACTAATAGAGAAAAAAACCAGATAATTTCAGATTACCAAAAAAAAAGACCTAATCGAGTTGAGATTTGAACATCTTAACAAAAACTTCCCAACCAATATAAACTTATAAGGAGAAGCAATGTTCACTATATCATCCTTAGAAATCAACAAAGCCGAAAAACCATTAACCAAATATTTAGTAAAACCAAAGTAGATTCTTTTAACTTGATACCACCAGCAAGAATATCACAAAAAAGCAAGATTTAGGGTTAGATTTGTTACCAGCATCAACAAAGAAGACTTTATTGCTAACAACCAAAGTTGTAGGCAGATTACCCCATAATGAGGGTTTAAATGAAGATAAACGAGCCGCCATGATGAAAATCATGAAGAAAAGTACCCAAGGCTGAAAGGCCTTAGGTCACAAAAGATATAGTCCTACACAACAAAAACAGTAGCCAAAATCATTGAAATTAATAGGAACACGAATGAGCTGCTAGATGAAAAACTTGATCCCTAGAGCACAATACAAGAGAGTAAATAAAATATAGATGTTCAATCAGCTAGAATTAATCGCTCACTAAACCTATTTTTGGGTTACCTCCCACATAGTGCTATGTATATAGTCTTCAGCCATGCTTGCCTAAATTTTTCAATTTTGCCTATGGTCAATTATTTCCATTCTTTAATGAATTTCAAATCGGTATACATTTATCTAAAATGCTAGATGACTTAATTGGGTTTCTAAATTTTTAATAGAAGTTAATTAATTTTGTAATTGATTCCCTAATTATATAATTACATCCTCTAATGCTATTTTTTTACTTCCAAATTGATTTCCTAGACTAAACCCAAGAGGATTTATAAGTCTAGAATTAATAACAGGTCTTTGAGAAGTGCTCCAACTAATTGCGTGATTATTCTGCCCATTATTCCATTGATTACTATTACCTATAGTAATTGACCAATTAAAATTAGGATAATTCTTTCAACCTAGATTATATGTATTTAAATAGGGATTTTTTTCTCATCTCATTACATTTAAATGTTCTACCCTTGCATATTATTATCTTCAATTAAATTTTTATCCCTTGAGGTATTAGTTCCTATTCCAGAATTTGTTAGTATTGTATTCAACTTCTTAGAAATTGCTAAAATTTGTGCAGTCTTATTTGATAAAACATCCAATTCATAATTTCCAGCTACTTTTTAAAGATTCACCCTATCATCAAGCCACTAAAAATTATTAGTAGGTACTTCCTCTATTAATTAAGAAGCTTTCTAAAATGGCTTTGACATTAATTGTCCTCTACTTGAAGCGTCAATTATAGCTCTAAGAGAGCTACTAATCCATTGAAAGATCTTTGAATAATTTACCAATCAAATAATGAATGATGCTAGCATTTTCTAAGCACTTCCTTAAATCTTTCCCAACTCTCATAATTGAATTCTCCATTAAATTGAGTAAAATAAGTTATGTAATTTCTATGTTTGGTATTTTTTAAATGTGGAAAATACTTAGTAAAGAACTTATGAGCTAAATCAATCCAAGTACTTTTTGAAATTAGGGATAAGGAATTTAACAACATTTTTAGCTTCATCTCTTAGATAAAAAGGAAGAATTCTAAGTCTAATATCATAATCATTGACACCTTCACACTTAAATGTTGCACATATTTTTAAGAAACTTGCTAAATAAAAATTGGGATATTCTACAGGAGTTCTCCCAAACTAAGAATTTTGAACAATTTGAATGATAGGTGGTTTTAATTTAAAATTATTATCTTGAATTGTAGGTATGTTTATACTTCGATGAATTCTGTTTACTAAAGGGTTTGCAAAGTCCTTCAAAGGCCTGGAATTATTTTTCTCTAACTTATGTTTAGTCATTTTTTAATTCTTTTTTGTTTTCCTATATTTAGAAATGGTTCTCAAAATTTTAGGATCAAATGACAAAATTTCCTTTCTATGGCTATAAATCATGCAACCACAAATAAAAAAATCTATGTAAAATAAAATAATATAATATAATAAAAAGAAAAATTGTATGTTGGTCTAACTATGAAATAAATTCAACCATATAGAGATAATTTAGCAAAAAGCAAAATACTTCCACAACAATGGTTACAAAAAATTAATTGGGGCAATTGAGTAACCCATATATTTATTGAATTATTTAGGACTCCATCAATTCCTAATAATGCTTAGGTTTTCTTTGATATAAAAATGTATAAATACCCCATTTAATATACACAAGTATAAGTTTTAAGTCAAGTAATATTGTATAGAGTAGAGTACTGATCTCACAAGAAAGATATTGCTCACTTATAAACACTAGTACTATCAAACCAACTTATAACAATTATCCTACCTGATAAAAATAGATGTTTTGGAGATTCAATTACTTAAATACAAATATATAAATGAATTGAAATAACTATATGGAAATAATGTTTTGAATTGATGAATATAAAAAACATATTTTTCCTAATGATTCTCTTTTAATTGTGATGCAGATCATATACATTCCTAGATCTCTATCATGCTTGTAGGAACAAAGGATGTCCACCGACTTCCTATGTTTACATTTTTGAATGTAATATATTTAATATTATATACCTAGGTATGATGCATTACATAATTTTAACTACACATATGGATTTTATATGCATTAAATTATGATCATATACTATGGAAAACATCTTTTTAATAATTTAGGGAACAAGAGAATTTATTAGTACAACATATTATACTTACATCATTAATCCAAAACTATAGAATTTAGCCAGACATGGAGTGTAATTGAAGAAAACTCATTTTCATTAAGAGAATAATTGAAACAAAATAGATGAGAAAAATATTACTATAACGGTTTAATGCATCTCGTCTACACTCCTCTTTTCTTATTGATTTTCTTACACAAACACAAGCCAAACACTAATGATGGAATCAAGTACTTTTCTAAATTTCCTTAGTTATCACCCTAAGGAAAATTCATAGAAGCACTCTACATTGTACTAAGATTATTTATGTAACTAAAGTCTCTTATAAACACAACACAATAACTATTTATAGGAAAACACCAAGTAGACATCTAGCGCTATGACTATTAAAAGATTAGCGTTGTTGCTCCCAACAACCTAAATAGTCACATCATTTCACAAACATATCATGTCCTTAGGAAGTTACTATTGCTAGGTCATGGTGGTCCTAACTTTTAAATCTTGTAGCATCGGAAGAATAATCTTGGTCTTAATGCATTTTTGAGTGTTCCACTACATTGCTATCTAACAAAGAACATGGTGCTAAAAAAAAGAAATTTTGATGTTGTTGTGCTATGCGACAGAGAAGTTAGCATTATAAAATCAATATTCAGGCGCTCTTGCAGTATCGTTTGTGGCGTTATGCCGTTGTTTATTTCAATGCTGCATTATTATATGAAATGTATAATTTTATGCCTTTTAAATAATTTTTCTACACAAAAAAATGAAAATAACACATTTTCACTGAAAGTATAACACATAAAATAACACATTATTTACACTTATAAGAAATTTTAATAGAATCTTGAGCATCTTTAATTTAAAGAAAATAATAAAATCATCAGCAAAGCCAAGGTGGGATGAAGGAATACCACCCAACATGAAATAGTGGATCTTAGGATGCATTCTATCAAGATCCATTAATATCCTAAGTAAATACTCAACAAAAATGATGAATAAATTGATGGATATATGATTATGTTGTCTAAAAACTTGGGAATAGTTAAAGAAACCATTACTCTTCCCATTGACGAGAATAGAAAATAATAATTCTCAATAATATACTTAATAAGCTTGATGATGTTAGATTTAAAATTGAAATGATAAAGGATATATTAAAATTAGTTTTAATTGAGATTATCATATGACTTAGTAATATTATAATTAAAAAAAAAAAAGAATTTCCCCCTCCATAGGCACATTAATATCATGATTAATTTCTTGTGCAAGAAACACTTTATCAAAAATAGCATGAACCTTAACTAAACAAATTTGGTAAGGAGAGATCATTTTAGGAAGCAACTTAGTAAACCACCCTATGATAATTTTAGATTTCATTTAATTCAAAAAATAACATAAACGTATGGGCCTATAATTATCAAATAGTTAATCATATCTCTTTTAGGAATAAGGTCAATAAAGGATAAATATAAATACTTAGGATAAGGAGAACCATTAAAAAATCATTATCAAGACCCATCGAATAAACTTTAAACATATTCTAATTCTTTTGAAAAAATTTAGTGAAACCATCAAGGCTAGCCACAGAGTCAGAGTTCATACCTTTTATGATATTCAAAATTTCCTTTTTAGAATGCTTCTGAAGACGAAAATGACTATCTTCCTTAGTAACTAATCCAGGAATAAGATAATTATCTAAAATATAATTAGGGATAAATTGTTATTAAAAATATTATTAAATAGCTGACAACTGAATCAGCATTAACTCATCAATTTCAAATATCAAACCATTAGGATAAGTAATTTTTATGAATAATTTTAATGCCCTTTTTTATTAGAAATCCCTAGAAAGAACTTAGAATTTTTATCTCCCTCCAAAATAAACATAGAAACCACCTTCTAATTCCAAAAAGTTTCCACTTTTTTATGCAGTTTAAACCAAGAGACTTTTGCCTTAAAATATAACAATAAGTTAAAAGAAAAAAATCATTCAGATAAAGATTCTAAAAATAATTTACATTACTTTCTCCTTCCAAAATATTTGGAAAAAGATTTTAAAACAAATTGAACATTTTCTTAATCATTTTAGTTTAAACCAAAACCTGAGCAAACCTTGAATGCTATCATCAAGAAATAGAGGAACAATCTAATCAGAATAAACAATATTATAGAGAGATAGAGAGGGTCATCATGTTTTGAAAGCTAAATGAAAAAAAAATAAAAAGCCTATGAAAGCTGAATAGAAAGTAAAAGAGGAGAGTGATCTGATAATGTTCTAGTCAAATGTTCAACATACCTCAAAGGATACAAAAATATCCAATTGTTGTTGAACAAAATACGGTCCAATATTTGCCACTTCATGGTTCAATTCAAAGTAAAAAAACACTACTAGAATAACCAATTTCATATAATTTACACTCCATAATCATTTTACTACAATCTTTAATGGTTAGAGAGTTAGGGGATTTACAACCAACAAGCCAAGGAACATTTGTTAAATTTAAAAAAAAAAAAAAAGTCAAGTAATTGATTCCAAAGAGCTTGTCTTCCAAAATGGAAACAAGAAGCATAAATAAAAGAGCCAAGCAATTAAATTATAAAACTCAAATTAAGTATGAATAACCTTAAGGAAAAATATAAAATGTTAACATAACAAGAATGTTCCAAAAAATCCAATATTTATCATTAATTAAAAGTTTAAGGAGTTTGGGAGACCTCAATGAACTAGCCCGAGGCTCACCAAGTGGGAGGTGAAATGGTAATTTAAAAGTCAACAGTACTTATAAGAAATATTGTATTTTTTATCTTTTTGCTACAAATACAATTTGTAAAAAAATTCAGATAGATAACTTAAAATTATGCGAAAAAAATTATAAATTTTAAAGAGATTACATATAATAATATTATATATATATATATATATAATATATATATATATATATATATTATATACTATAGTTCTTTTAATACATGCAGATTTTCTTATTCCAAACCACAATCCAACCTTAGTGCAGTTAATCCTAAATATTTAAATAAGCAAATTCAACTCACAATAATATAAAATTGCATAAAATATAAATGTAAAAAGGAAAATGCACACTAGACGATTTTCTAGAGGTTCAATCAACCTCTTGACCTACCATCTACCACCCCAAGTCCACACTTAGAGTATATACAATCAAAATTTTGTCTCTCCTTTGTCTGTCCACAGTAATTTTGAAAAAGCCATTACACAAAATCCTTCCACCAAAACAATTCGGCGGAAGAAGCTTGAAGCTTTGTCAGCCTCCAGGAGTCTGCAATAGGCCTTTAATCTTTTCTCCTCATGGAGAAGGCAAAGTACCTTGAACTCTTTTCTTACCCGCCTAGTGATGGAAGAGAACCAAATCCTTGAGCTGAAGAATTTCTCTCCAGAGCCACTCAAGAAACCCAGAATGACAAATGTTGGAAAAAGGCAAGATACTTACTGGAGCATCTATGTGATCCACACACACTACTTCTCCCGCAAACACAAGCATTCCCTCTTCCTAAAGCTCTCCTAGATTCTTTTCTAAAAGCTCCCTCTCAAGAACACTTAGCCGCAAAAGACTTTGAAACAAGTTAATGAAATGAATTTAAATACTTGGCATCACAAAAAACATAAATTTCAACTCTGTTGACTCTGTTCGTATATTAAAGTCCTTGATTGTCTAGTTATGATTAGTGAAAATTACTCTTTTTTAGGGGAAACCTGCGGAGGGGCCTACATGTTGTTAAAGTAAAAATGTAC